GATACACTTAATCTCAATACTCGCGCTAAAACAACACTGTAACGAACGAACGTTAACTTCAACAATACCGTGTGACTGCAGCTCAATTACTCACTATCTATACCTTTCCGCGTCACGTTGTCCTCTCCTATATATATATCCGCCCACCCTATATCTAGAACTATCATGTACTTTGTCGAATGTTAAACGTTGCATCATAGTAGTCACATGACTCGCTGACGCAACAAAATATTCTAGCCCCAAGATAATTACCTAATATATGCAACCCCATTCAAAATTCAAAACACGTATAGCTAGTGCATACGAGAATAAATCTTATTATGTTTCTTGTTATATTTACGAAAGGCTGACATGTTGTACATCTTCAGTATTTTATTCCTGTGTAGTATACTGACCGTTACTTCATTTTACATTTAAGGTTGTTGATATTTATACCTTTTGGCTGAATATAATTTCAATTAGCTGTCTAAAAGTCTAAGTGGGGGTGTATGTGTGTTTGAATAATTAAGTTATCAACTGAAAACCAACATTAATCCAACTTACTTTAAATAAACATTTTTAACGAAAGAAATGGTCGTACTCTGTGCACGTGGAAATAGTCAATATTTCTCACCTGAAGTAGTTATGGAAACAGTAAGATAGATTTTCAAGAACACGTTTATTGTAAAAATGAAAATAAATGGAAGATGTTGACACCCAAAAAGCAATGAAAATATTTCAGACGTTTCCGCAGAATGTTAATGACAGTTTGTGGATCTTGTCTATCGCACATTTCAATTGGTTTCAGCTTTAGGTTCATTTGTGAAAACACAAATGAATTTCATCTACGGGAGTAACGAGAGTTTTGATTAGCTAATCAACCATCGTCTACTGTTCTGCAGCTAAATTAACAAATCCCAACGACCCTCGCAGATATTTTCCAAACTACACAATTTCTTTTAACACTATACTTTTCTTGGCACAGTCACGCGTCTAATTATATTTTTTCTTTCACATTTATGGAGAAGCTGTTACACACGTGATATTGTTTTCAGATTAACACTTCACGAGTCTCCCGTCATATTTCACAGACCACACCCATACTATTTCATTTGGAATATAGCGATTGTTTGTGTAGTGAGCATTGGAGCGGAGCTTAACGATCAGTAACCAGTTTATAGATGGTTGGACGCATGTAGCGACATCTACAACTTTAAGTGTAACAGGATATTGCCAGCGTAGGACAAGGTGCCAGAGTAAATGAGCAACTCTGTGAATGTGATGGTTCTGGCCATTTCCTTTTGACACTAGTCTCAGGCTGGGAGATGTAATCTTTTTTCACTGCACAGGTGCAGCTAGGCTCTATTGATGGCAGTGACAGTTAGGCCTAATGGAGTTGACTCTAGGCTTGTTTCTCCCTGCAGGGCCTAGAAGCTTGCAGACCAGAAAACTGTGTGTAGTATATTTTGGCTTGACGGTTGTTAAGCACAAGAAGATAATATCTTTCTCAAGCACTTACTGAAAAAGAGGGGTTTAAAACAGGGAAAATAACTAATTTTGTACTTTTCTACCCACCCACGCTTCATTCCCAGAATTTTCTTTAATGTAAGCTTAAAATCATATCTGCTTTGTTCATGAACCAGTCTGAACATAAATACACACACATATTCTTCAGTGGATCAACTTTTTTTTCGTTCATCCGAAACCTTTAACTAAGAATATTTTTATATAAATCAAACCACTCACACAAAAATATGTTAAAATAATAACATAAAAGCGCTCTTATTTTTATAAATGTTAGACGCTTTGACTGTTACAAAACGATTAGACGATTTAATTGTTACAAATGTTAGATGCTCTGACTGATACAAAAACTATATATAGACTCTTTGACATTAGTATTAAACACCCTTGATAACGCTACAATAACCCTCTCTACCAGTAAAGAAATAATTTCTCAATATTTTGATATCTGAGCGTGCTAGAATTTAGCGTGTCTGGTTACATATCGGAATATCAAAATTTCAAGCTCACGATAAGCCACTGAACGCATTCCGTACTTTCAGATGTGAGTGCGTTTTAAAAGCGACAGTTAATTTCACAATTCGGTTAAGGTTTGTCGTGGGTGCTGCTGACTGATTGTCCTTGGGGATCTTACCTGGTCGTTAGCTCATGTGTTGCTTAAGGTGCAGTTCGGGTTGAAATTATCAGATACTTATGCATTCTATCATAAAAAGCCCAACTGAAATTTATATTCTATAATACGAGTGTGTAATGTACACAGCGTGGTCACAAGTAAATAGACACCACCTTTTCAGAAAAAAAATGAAATTTTTCAGT